CCCCGACCGTGGCGGTAGGGAAAGAGCAGCGAGCAGAGGTCTGGCGTATCCTCGATCGGAAAAAAGGGTCGGAGTCGGACTGCGGTTCCACCATGGCCAGGCCTTCCGGTCGGGGCTCACCCAGAGGTCCAAGGAGGTGAGCCCGCCCCAGTCAGGCGGGCGGAGCCCCGACCCAGGTCAGACGAGTCGGGGCCTGCCCTGAGGGTCAGGCGAGAGGAGCCCCGACCCAGAGGTCGGACGAGTACGGGGCCCGCCTCTAGAGGTCGGGCCTTTCCACCCCTCACTCTAAAGGTGTCCGGAGCGGTTGTCGAACCCGTTGGTGGGCCAACCTTCGAACTCCTGGGCCTAGACGAGCCGTAGGAGCGTCTTTAGCTCCGTATCCCCCTTACCTGTGACGGGTCGTGGCCCGTTCGGGGAGGCCCTGGTTGGAGGATCCGGTCGCGGACCGGATCGTGGTCTTGACCTGTTATTGTGTATCTAGGCCGGCACAGACGTGTGCTGTCGTTACGCCTCCTGCTGGGACAAGTTTTATAGGGAAGCGGGTCCATTGGGGACCCCGGGTTTATGAACCCGACACTAAGTATGTAACATCTGGCAGTAGCAAATGTTCAGTTCAGTACTTCGTGCTACCCAACATGGAATAGAGTTGTGAAAAGCAGATAATTTCATGAAGTAAAAAGTAAAAACCTGAATCCTTATCCCACCGGAGTTTCTTGTTGCTTGCTTGCCCTCTTCTAGATTCTGAAAGGAACAAAATATCATGGTTATTATGCTGAAAACATAGAACTTACAATAAATTTCACTGCATACAAATGAGTTCAAGAGTCAAGACTACCTTGCACCAGTTCAGCAGGGAAATTCGAAGAAGTTAGTTTGAGATATAATGCAAGACCTTCACGTTTGCTTTGTGTCTTACGTTTCCTATCGGAAAATCTTTCAATCTCTTTGTCTTCATTCTCTGAGAACATATGAAATCATAAGAAAATTAAACTAAAAACACAAATTATTAACATAAAGCTAGAAAAATACCAATGCAAAAAATACGTAAAAGGAATGCTTAAAGATGATAGATAAAACTAATTAACAGAACAAAGTAAAAGACGCTAGCAATGAACAAAGATGCTTTTATGAGTGTGCCAAATCGTTTCTACAAGTTTCTCATTCTATAATAAGATAACCGAAGAGCAGCAGCTAGTACAGTAAGATAACAAAACTGGCAATGCAATTTTTTTTTTTTTGGGGGTGGGGGCGGGGACAATGGGTATAAAAAAAAAAACAGGACACTCAGTAATATAGGGCCTCTTTTCAAAAGCTAGCAAAGGTGCAAAACTACCTTCCATACAACACTGTCTCTAGCCAATTATTTGATCATTTACCCGAACAAAACATAAAGTGCTTCCACCAAAGACTGAGTTGACTAATCTATGAACAATCTTCGAGAATTGTTGTCTACTGCACATAGCTAGACGAAGTTTTGACGGCTTCACGACAATTTATTTGAGGATTCCACCTCATTACTGGACCAACTACTTGAAAGAAATGGTGCCTCCAAAAAATTCACAGGGTTGATTGCCTACCGGACATGTTTAAAAAATTCTTGACTTTCGAGCAAGCAAGCAAGCTGCAGAACTATAGATCAGAAGATAAGGAGCACTACCACTACGAAGAATCAGTAAGATGAGCAAAAGGAAGAGCTGTGACAAGTTCAGCCATAGTACTTTTCTTGGGAGCATCCTCCTCCAGGTGGTAGCAGGAACTCCTCCAGAACTCCTCAAGTTTTAAGGTTGACAGAATCAGCGCCTTCTCCTCGTTGCTCGCCTTGGCGCACTTCATCTCCGGCTGGGTGATGTCCTGCTCATTTTGCAAGCACGCAGCACATCAGTTCTACTGCACCACGCAATGCAAGGTGCGGGCGGAGGGAAGACCGGAGGACTGACCGGGAAGTCCTCGTGCGGCGCGTGCTTGGCCGGGTGGTCGTATCCGAAGCCTCCACCTCTCCCGCGGCCCCCTCTTCCACGGCCTCGGAACGACATCGGGAGAGAACGCCGCGAGGCAGCAGATGGAGGTCGAAGGGGCAACGGGGAGCGCGCGAGGCGATAGGAGGGAGGACGGCGTCGGCGGTGAGCAGTGGCGGACCTAGGAACGCAGCAATAGGAGGTAGGCGAGGTCGTCCGAGGACTTGAGGAGGAGGAGGAGGAGGCGAGGTCGTCGACGGGAGGGGCGAGGGCGGAGGGGAGCACGCCGCCACGGAGAACGGAGGTCGAGGGGCGCGGTCGGGGATTCGGTGGACGGCGGCTGTGGAGAGCGCTTGCGCTTCTGTTGGGTGGCGTTTGGGTACAGGATATAGGCAGTAGCGCGCGGCGACAGCAGCAGCAGCGCGCGGACAGGTGCTGCAGCAGTGTGCCGACGGGCGGTTAGCGGCTGCATGCATGCGCTATGGGGGCCGTCCAGGCAAAATGGGAGGCGGAGGCGCGTTGCACGTATCCTTACCGTTGGATGCATGCATCCAGGAAGTGTGTCCCCTGCATCGTTTCCTGCCGCATGCAGAAGGAGCACGTCATACGCGTGGGCGGGCAGTAGGCGCGGGTGTCCGAATGTCCGGGCGTCAGTCTTTGCCATATTTTTTTTAGATGTTGTAATGTAGATTTTGTCGGATAATGAACAGTGAACTAAATGTAGATGGCATCGATCTCTATGTTGGCATGTTGCCACGGTACTATCTTGGATGACTCGGTCTCGCCCTTTGGATGACCATGACCAGAAACGAAACGTGATCACCGCCAGGTGCCCGCTCAGCCGTCGACTTTTGCTTTGGCGGCATGCAAAGGAACAACACAGCTCGGTCGTGGACTCTCCGCTTTGACATGCAAAGGAAGAGATTGATTTGCAAGCGGGGTTGTGGCCTCGTGGGACAGAGATTGATTTAATGATTTGCATGCAGCCATGCCGGAGAGAGATTGACCGCCGTAAAAATCGGTTTAGGTGGCTACCTGCGTGGGGCAGGCTTGCCATGATTTTTACTGCCAAAAGCTCGTATTAGACTCAGAGACTGGCTGATCGGGCGTACACACGAAGGGTGGTAGACGAAAGTCCTTGGTATTTTTTAGATGTAACAAATAACAGATTAGAGACTTTAATAATAATTTAGTTATTATTTTATAATTTGTATGAAAATTTTGAATAAAACAAATGGTCAAACAAGATGTTTATTAAAAGTAAAAAACATCACTTATTTTAGAACGGATGAAGTACTCAATCCATACAGTAGTACATGACCGTTGGTGGCTGAATATATATGTAATGTAACTGAAACTCATGCTCTCTTCTTCTCTTCATTCATATATATGAAATGAAATTTGGGTGTTCGTTCGTTCCTGGTTCTTGCTTTTGTTTGGAAATAAAAGGGGGGAAACGGGTGGAGTATTTTGCTCGTCACTGTACTCCTGTTATATGAATATGATACTCCTACTGTCCTACATACATATAGGATGGTTGGATTGTAGAACGTAGCTGCATGCATTTGTTTTTCTACGCGCATAGATATGTTCAAGTTTTTTTTTGACTGTCACGAGGGGAGGTCCCCACCTGAATTTTGTTTCACTGATCTAGGTCCGATGGATCCATCTGTTTACAAGGATTTCATCGCCAGTGTTACATCATCGTTTAGATATGTTCAAGTTCCCGAGTTTCAGGGCCTCACAAATTGTAAATCTGTTTTGACAGTGATTTGGTGCGCGCGGTATCCATCGCAGAACCGGAAGCAGACCCTCTCTCTACACGCAAGCAACTCAGGCTCCTCCGACATAATCACTAGTGTCTATTTTCTACGTATCCATTGTTTGCTTGCCTTTCTTATCCAAAAGCTGAGGTGCTGTCTGACGGCTTGTAACTCATCAAAGAATGAATCGAACAGACCCCTCGTCCTCAATTGGCATTATCTGCTTACCTTCATGTTTCATTTGGTTACGGACAATACCACACCATCCACAACAAGAAGACAACATTAAGAAATTATTTACGCATGACGACATAGTTGCAAACAATACACCTCGAGAGAGGGGCTAACGAGATGGTACTTGGCCGTGCAATTTCGAAGCTGCCAGCAGTGGCATGACCTTTCAATATGGCCAAATTAGACCACTGCATGGCATATTAGCGTGAACGTGAGAATCGTGCCGTGGTCGCGTAAAAAATCTAAGCTCGTGCATAGATGATGACACGACATAACAATGTGAAGTCTTGATCGACCAGTACGGCAATAGAAGATGATGCATAGCATAGACGATGACACGACGCATAGCATAGATTAGCCTTCACGCATCCCAGCTCCGTAAAACAGGTCTGCATAGGCACCTCACTTTCAACCAAACAAGAAAATTAAACCGTGCTCAACCAAAAAACGCCATAAAGATTGGCGCAGATTGGGAATTCACCAAACAAGAAAATTAAACCGTGCTCAACCAAAAAACGCCATAAAGATTGGCGCAGATTGGGAATTCGACCTGGGGGTAATACATTTGGTTCAACGCCGATGACTGATTTTTGTTCACAATTACGTCCTCGGGTGTAGATCGTTCTTGCCAGGAACGCACACCAACCCAATTTATCAAAACTTTGAAGCATTGCAGCAAATTTTACAGCTATAAAATTTTGTACTTAATTGAGTAGCAAGATAAATTAATATTGAAAACATTTTCCTTATATTGTTCCCTGCCTACTTGGGATATGGAAATGAAACAGCTTAACATTCAATAATCTGAGCTATCGCAGTCATTGCTCAAAATTTAATAACACCAAAGTTATGCTGATCAGTCACCGAGAGAGATGTACTTTGCAACGTTTAAATGAATCCTTCTGACAATCTCATATGCGGGACACTGAAGAAAATCTCACCCATCAAAGGTACTATGTGGGCATTCTCATTTTACACTGGTTCATGCACCAAGCAAATCAAACGATCAGGATAGTGTACCAAAATTTAAGAGGGCAAATGCCATCTTTCAACCCCAGAACCTGCTCAGAAGGCCCTTCTTTTCTTTTTTCATACGGTTCTCAAGGCTTGGGAACTCAACTGCGTTGTAAGCCATATCAAGCACAATAGGATTGCATGGAACTGCCTGGAAGGGGGGTGGGAATTGAGCAATGTGACATGGAGCTTTGGTGTTTGGCTCACCAATCGCTGATTCATAGCTCTCTAGCATATCAAGAAGATACTTGTTCTCCTGCAAAATACAAATATATCATAAGTATCTGTAGTTAAATATATATATATATATATATATATATATATATATATATATATATATATATATATATATATATATATATATATATATATATATAGCTGCCAACTTGGTTTGATGTGCAAAGCATCACATCATGTAGAAGACAAAAATCACAAGATGGGAACTAGTCAACTTAACCGCTTACAACATTGAAGATAGGCTGAAAAACAGTTACTGGCAGCCAAACATATCAAGTCATAAATTCATAATATTAATACTACCTCCGTCCCAAAAAGAACGCAATTCTAGGAGTATCTAAAGTTTGACCAAATATATAGGTCAAATATAACATTTATGACACCAAATATGTATATTATGAAAAAAATATCATCATCATCAACAACAACAACAACAACATAGCCTTTCAGTCCCAAGCAAGTTGGGGTAGGCTAGAGTTGAAACCCACCAAGAGCCCCAAGTCACGGTTCAGGCACTTCAATAGCTGCTTTCCAAGCACTCCTATTCAAACATAGATCTCTTATCTCATGACAAATTTAATGATACTTATCTGGTATCACAAATATTAATATTTTTTATTTTTATATATAGTTAGTCAAACTCAAGATGCTTTAACTTGATATTGTGCTAGAATAGAATTATTTTTTGGATGGAGGGAGTAATATACGAGCATACTCAAGTTTGTAGTTTCATCTATGCTTTGCTCAAATGCAATTGTGTGGACCGATACTTCTGCAACAGTTACTTGAGAAATGCAAATTTATACACATGAGCTGTAATAAATTCCCAAAAGGCACCATGATTATAAAACGTAAACACTTCAAATGGCAGCACCAACTTGAAACCCCAGTGGCACCCTGAATAGTATCTACAAGTCAAAATGGTGGCATCAACCTCCAAAATTGGCCACCATAGCACAACCAACCTAAAAATCAGAAGTAACTGGGTGCAAACCTAGATCGTAAGGGTGTCCTACCAATGCAAGCCTTATTCTGTGCTTACATGGACATATTTCATAATGGAAACATACCTTTGTTTTATCATCAGCAAGTGACATAGTTGAGACTCCTTTAGAGAGTTTTAAGGGAACAATCTCCTCCTCCATAATGCCTGTTGCATGTTCTATGCAGCTATTTGATCTACAATTGTCAGATAGCGACTTCAGATCTTGTATTAAAGCCTGTGAAAAATGAGCATGCATAAGTTGCGCGAATTTTCTTATAATAATAATTAGAAAAACGAAGATAATGGGAAAGGCCCACAAAGCCTAATTATCTGGGATTCAATTTGCTTCAACTTAGTGAAGAACACGAACTATGTTATTAAATAGTTTTTTTTTCTTGAATCAACTATGCTCTAAGATTAACCTGCCAACAAAGTCAATTAACCTTGCCATTCAATTTGGCAATTTGCTTCAACGTAGAGAAAACCATAAACTATAGATTACCAGCCAACAAATAAAACTCCCTGTATCTAGTATCAAGGTTTCACGTTAATAGTCCTCAGGATTGGAAGTGATATGCCAGTAAAAAGATTGCAAGGTGCTGGTTCAGAGTTGGTTGTTTCAGTGGCAAACCTTGTCATTACTGTTTGCAAGCTGTTGCAGTGCAGAATCAGTGAGAGTACGGGCATGGCAGAATAATGCATATGCTTCAGCTCTTTTGCCTGCTGAACTATATGACTTCGCCAAAAAGAAACATCTGCACAATATTTCAAAGTGAAACATGTAAGGATAGTCCACCAGGCATTAGATTTAAACAGATTTAAACCTTGCTAACAACCTGAAAGATTTAAACAGATGAAGTATGTAAGTGCATACTCGCATACATCAAACTCTTACTTAACCTCTCTTTTAATTTGTCGTTTGGTATATACAAATTCATGCAGATAGGAAGGAAGGCATTCAAACCAACATGTACAAGGGTGAAGATCATAAAATAGTTACACAGAGATTTATTGTGAAAAGAGAGACAATGGTGTAAAGAAAGCTGGTCGTTAAAGAGTATGCTAAACTTGGATACAGTGTAACAAACCTCTCAGCTCGGAAAGCCAAGCCTTTCAGCTCATACTCATGAATAAAAGAGTTCTCTTCTTCATTTTGTTTCTTCCAGAGCTAACTAAATCTGTCAAATCCGTTGCATTCTGTAAAAAGCAGTCTCACATCAGCAAAAGTACAAAGTCTAGTAAAGACATGATAAAACGTCTAAAAAGAGGATGTGACAGAAAACAGATACCTGAATAAGCAGATCATATAGCCGAACAAGTTCTTCTGGCTTTGTGATTCGCTCATTTTTCTCATCTCGATGCTTTGTGAATTTACTTTTAGCAATGCTAACAAGTAACTGGTTACGTTCTATAGTCCTCAATCCTAGAACAGCACTAACAGCCTTGTCAAGACCATTCAGTTCATCTCTTATATCCTCAGCATTGCCAGCAGAAGCCTACATTCAGAAAGAAAAAAAGATGTTAGAATACAAACCGTAACTATTGTATAACACATCTCTATTATCTAGAATGTTAGTCTGTACTAAATATAACAAGTAAAACAACAAAATTGCATACCAGGTCATTGCGGATGCAGCTCCGAGCATCATGGTATGCAGAAAATATTTTATCAAATATGGCAAGCTTTTTGTCAGCAGCAACTGATTCTGTGGCTGCACCACTCAAGTCTCTCTCAAGCTGCTGAGCTGAAAAGTTGCAGCAAGAAAATTGCTCAAAAAAGGATTCTATAATCAGTCATTTTATCATGACCTGAATTTTATACAATCTCATTTCAAAACAGATGGGCAGTATTATATGGAAATCCTGCACAGTATTACTCCGGAAGTTAGAAGTAACTATATACCTTTCAAAATGGAGACACGGGTCTTTGCATTTGTAATAGGAAATGTGCGACCAAGCCAATTAAACTCGGTCATGGAAGCTGCCTGCTGTGACCTTGTCTCAGATAATACAGCCTGAATTTTTTTCAAAATACATGTAAGAATATAGGAAGAAAAGGGCATCTAAACAGCCAAAAAGAAATTACAAGCAAACAAGTTGGTGTCAATTTTATGAAACTGCCACTAACACCCTTCCCCAGACCCCGCACAGAGCGGGAGCTCTCTGCACTGAGTACGCCCTTTTTTTATATATATTAAAACATAGTCCAAAGTTCCAGAAAATAAAGTCATAGCAATGGTGGGGCCAATCATGAAATCAGATGGCAGGACAAATGTAGACAACTGCACTATATAGACATAAATGCTAGGTAGTATATTTGGGAGGAAATAGAGAGATCTGAAAAAAACTCTCTAGCTCTGCCTTGCATAGAATTGCAAATTTCTTTTTTAACTTACCAAAGCGAAAACAATTAGCACATCTAACATATTAAAATTGTGTATATTAATAGAAGGCATATTGTTTCAAAATGCACCATAATTGTCCTGCAGACAGCCAGATCTCCAGCTGTTCAATCAAAATATCAACATGTCAATAGTGGCATTGTGATGCCTTCATCACAACAGCTAAAGTCATCTTTGGGCCTGTACAATTTACACCCTAGTGCTACGAGTTGAAGAATGTAGCAGTCACTAGCCCATCTGTTAATTGAATGCCAAAATTCACAGATGCAGTTGCATGCAATATTGAAAATAAAAAAAATAATAGATGGTAACACGGTGATTTGCTAAACAAGACATTGCAACAAGCATGACATATATATAAGCATGACTTATACAGAAACGAAGCACTTCCAGGTCATGAATAAAACTTTGTGGATCGCAGGGCCTGATAAAACTCAAAAGTTCAAAAATGTACTCTAAAGGGCGTACCCAGTGCAGAGAGCTCCCGCTCTGTGCGGGGTCTGGGGAAGGGTGTAAGTGGCAAGCCTTACCCTCGCATGTGCAATGCGAGGAGACCGCGACTCGAACCCGGGACCTTCCGGTCACAGGCGGTAAGACTCTACCGCTTGCACCACTCTCTCCGTTCCAAATCGTAAGTCGTTTTTGGCTTTTCTATGTTCATTCTTAGCTTTTGCTATGCACCTAAATATACGCTGTCTAGATACATAGTAAAACAGTTATGGCTTATAAATCTGGCATGCTTGCTCCTGAAATGGGTGCAATCCTCAAAACTGCAAGTATAAAAAAATGCATCCCTTCTCTCCAACCTTGTAGCTCCTATGCAGAACCACTAAAAGAACGAGAAGGAAATTGATTCCCAAAAATTTGACTCCTCAAGATAAAACCCATATCAATCAAATATTTAATTTTATGGTCCACTGCAATATGTGCTAGCCCCTAACTAACAACTAAAAAGAAATCGAGGTATGTCAGATGAGCAGTAAGAAAATAAATACCTCCATCTTCGCCTTGAGAAGATCATTAGCAGTTTCCAGGAGTTCATGTGCTTGTAAATATGATCCACCTAGTTTGTGTGAACAGAAATCAATCATAGGCTCCAATTCGTCGATGCGCTGACGGCATAAAAGTTGATTTTCTATACTGCCATACTTCCCAAGCTCCTCATATATAGCCCTATAGAGAAACAGATAATAAATTACTCAAAATCATAAAAAAAACTCACCCTAATTACTTCATTCAAAAAGGAACAATAATAAAGATATCCACACAATAAATAATGCCAGGCTCTAATGATTGTATATTCTGAAAAAAAAGCAGAATTCCACAAACCTCGTATTCTTGAAATTTATCATTGCAGCATCTATATTCTTGTCTTGCTCAAAAAACAAAGCACCTTTCATATATGAAGCATATGCCTGAGAAAAAAATGTATTTTGGTGAAAATGTTTTAGATTTGTCTTCAAAATAGTTCAAATATTTTTAAAAATACAGTTGAGAGAAAAAAAGGGCGTACCCAGTGCAGAGAGCTCCCGCTCTGTGCGGGGTCTGGGGAAGGGTGTCAGTGGCAAGCCTTAACCTCGCCTGTGCAATGCGAGGAGACCGCGACTCGAACCCGGGACCTTCCAGTCACAGGCGGTAAGACTCTACCGCTTGCACCAGGCCCGCCCTTCACAGTTGAGAGAAAGTGAAACAAAATATAGTAAGAAACACACCTCAGCTTCTAGAGATGTCCTGGAATCTCCTTTTACAGAACATAATTGTGAAAAAAGTGATGCCCATTTAACAGCTTTCCTAAACCGACCCAACATGTAGATACGCTGTTGTGCGTTTGTACCAGCAGTTTTCTTCTCCATGGCATGACTCCATGCTCGCTCGGCCATGTAAAATACTACATGGAGAAACCTGCTCTCACATGGTACATTGCTTCATGAAGTCTTCTCCAGGTCTAAACAAATTGTAATAGGCCTTGCTCAAAAATTCACACAAGGTTTATAACAAAAAGGGCGTACCAGTCTGAGAGAGCTCCCTTTCTGTGCGGGGAATGCAGGAAGGGAGTGTCCGTGGCAAGCCTTACCTCGCTTTGTGCAATGCGAAAGACTGCGACTCGAACCGGGACCTTCCGGTCACAGTGGTAAGACTCTACCGCTTGCACCAGGCCCGCCCTTCACACAAGGTTTATAACACTGAAAAGAAAATTATGAAGACAAGCAACATGCTATATAGCACATTATCAGCAGAAGGGCCACACCTCACATCCGTGACTGTTGACTCAGTTATATTCCTTCTGGTGTATTTACCTCAGCCATGCAAAACTTGAGAGACTTGTACAGCCTTCTGAGTCGTGCAGAACAGTATCTCCTGCAGGCAATGCAGAATCATTCAGGCAAAGAGGCAGACACAACAATGACAAAGGATCGCGATTCTAACTGATAACAAAGAGCATGATAAGAAACGAAACAAGCATAAACAGGCCGAAAGTTTGAAAGTAAATATCCAAATTTCCTGCAGGGTACAGGTACAAACGCGTAGAATTGGATCGCAGTGTACAGCAATTCGATAAGGAAACACTTCATCCCAAATCAAATTTGAGACCCCAGCAGACAAGAAGACACAAAAAGGACTAATAGTCGAACTAGACGCGCAGATCTGGGGGAGGGTCGAACAGGATCGAGTGGAGAGCGCGTGGCATAACGCACCGGTACCGCGTGTAGTCGCTCTGGCGGAGACCATGCTGCATCTGCGCCTCCCTCATGAGCTCAAGCACTGCAGGAGATGAGACCCGTCAGGAGATGGAGCGAGGGGGCAGATCGCCGGAGGATTCGTGGAGAGGGAGGGTAGGCTCACCGTTGATGGAGAATCTGATGGCCGGCTTCTCCTCGACGGCGGAGGAGGAGTCGACCTGCATGTCCGATGGCTGCTGGTCCGCGGGCTTCGACATGACGGTGGCTGCGGAGGCGGACCTCCGGCGGAGTGCTCAGACGCGGTTGAGACGAAGGGGGCGGATGCGGAGTGCGTGCGTCTGTCCTCCCGAAAAGGTTTAAACCCTATTGATTGATAATCCGTGTATAAATCCAAACATTAAATATCAACCGTATTCCGAACATTAAATATCAATACGTATCCGAACCAAATAATCAAAGTTGTTAAGTGCACCAGCGGTCCCTAAACTTGTACCACTGTGTTATCCCGGTCCTTAAACTCATAAATTGACCGTTTAGGTGCTTAAACTTTTTCATCTGTGTCGTCTCGCTCCCTAAACTTGTTTGGCTGTGTCATCCCGGTCACTAAACTTGCAAATCACCCGTTTAGGTCATCAAACTTGTTCAGTTATGTCATCCTGGTCCCTAAACTTTGTTTTGAGTCTCATCTGAGTCAAAACAGGGTGATCTAAAAACTTTATATAAAAAATAATTCATAATTTTTTCATATGAACTCGAATAGAGATAAACTTTATATCAAAATTGTAGCCCTCGACGCGATCTACGACTTCGTAGTTGAAAAGTTTTTGAATTAAAATTGTTTAGGGTCCCAAAATATTATTGTATATTTATAGATTTTGAAATTTAAAATTATCAAACAATCTTGATATTGATATGGTCTATATGAAAATTATAGTTCTCAATACGATCTACAACTTTATAGTTGAAAAGTTTTTTGTTTGAAGTCATTTAGTGTCCCAAAATTTAATTTTAAATTTCAAATTTTAAAATATATAAACATACAATAATATTTTGGAACCCTAAACAGTTTTAATTCAAAAACTTTTCAACTACAAAGACGTAGATCGCGTCGAGGGCTTCAAATTTGATATAAAGTTTGTCTTCATTCGAGTTCATATGAAAAAGTTATGAATCATTTTTTATATAAAGTTTTAGATCATCCTGCTTTAACTCGATGAGACTCAAAACCAAGTTTAGAGGCCGGATGACACAACCAAACAAGTTTGAGGACCTAAACGGGTGATTTACAAGTTTAGGGACCTGAATAACACAGCTGAATAAATTTAGAGACCAAGATGACACGGATGAACAAGTTTGAGGACCTAAACGGTCGATTTACGAGTTTAAGGACCGGGATGACACAGTGGTACCAGTTTAGGGACCGTTGGTGTACTTTACTCTTGTTACCACAACCCACGTTGGTGAGGAAGGAAAGCGGGCGGGGCGACGGCGGTGGGGTGCTCGTCGCGGCGAAAAGCGTGCCCGGCGAAGCCCTCTCAAGACCGGCATAGCGTAGGGGGGGGCGTGATCGCCAATCGTCGTCATACCGGGAGAGTGAGGCCATGTTTGGTTTGTGAGGACGTACCACGCCCGTTAGTCGTGTCACGCTTTTTTTACGACAATGGTTTGGTTTGCTGCCACAGCTACGACGTGCCATATTTTCTTAGCAGCATGTCCTACACATTATAGATTTATTTTCTTGCCAAACTTTGCCACAAGTGTAGCTCTAATTGTCTCACTTGAACTTTCTCTGGCGACCACAGTTTTGAAAAGGTTTAGCGTGGCAATTGGCCCGAACAGGAGAAGAAAATCGCTGTGGAGATTGCTGCCTGGCTAAAGATGAGCAATCGGGCCGCCCGACCAGCTGCAACCAGACGGCCAAGCACGGCTTCTTGATTTTTTATCTGCCGTGCCGATCCAAAAAGCACGGGCCTAAAAGCGGACCGAGCCACCCAAGGCCCACAGATGCCATCTGAGAGAGAGCGTGGGGAGGAGGCCGGGCCAGGATGGCGGGAGCGTGGAGGAGCCAGCGTGGCGGCGCCAGATCCGAAGGAGGAGGAGGAGGAGCTCGGCACCTCGCCCCCCGAAACAACTCGACAACGGATCTGGATGAGCGCTCAGGACGGCCACGCTGCGTTCGACGCCACGGGGGAGGCCGTTGCCAAGATCTCAATGGGGAGCGTCATCTCCCGCCACTGAAGCTTCACCGCTGGCACCGTCGGTTGCTCGGCCTTTCCCGCTGACCTCCGCTTGGCGGCTCGCCAGCGGACCATGGAGGCGCGCATGGCGCCTGTGTTTTGGGAGCCAATCTGCGAGTGTGGGAGACAGGGGAGAAGATTGTGACCGGGCTCTATTCTGGATGGTTGGAAAAAGCGGTGATGCTAATGATGATTTGTTATGAGAGAAAAACACTATTATTTCGCTGAAACGGTACGGCTGATAAGTTGAAGTGAACAGGGCCCCGGAGCCGGGGGGTGGGGGCGTGCTTAGTCATACGCAAGAGATGCTCGACGATGGCAAAGTGGGGTGTGAGCAAAGTTTGTCAGGGTTATAATGGGAGTGGGCCTTAACCAAGCCTCCGATAAATACCGGGGCGTGCCATGCCACCCGCCGTACTTGAGCAGTAGCCCAAGCACGGCATGTGCATCGGGCCGTGCCGATCTAGGCCCGAACAACACCAGGCCGCATTGTGCTTAGGCCGGACTAAAAAACCATGTTTCGGGGAGGGCCATGCATGCTCATCTTTATGCCTGGCGTGAAAGCTGCATGGGACTGGGGACTGGGAGACGCTCAACCTGTTTGGATGATAGCGTGGGATTTTGGTCCTGACCCTCAATTCGTGGGCTGCAAAGGAAATGAGCGGCCCGGAAGAAAAGAAAAAAAAAAACACCCCTGATTTGCCTTCTCCTGTTCAGCCCGAGTGCGCGCTCTCACTCTCTCGCCGCGCGACGAGTGGCGACCGCCGCCCCCACCCCCTACGACAGGTGCCGAGGGCTTCGCCGGGCCCTTCGCCGCTCGCCGGCGACGAGCACCCACCAGGTTCGTCCGCCCCTGCCTTCCGTCCCATTCCCGCTGCGCGAAACCGAGCTTCCCAACCCTACCCTAACGTAAGCTATTTGCTGTCTGCTTTCAGATCCACCAGCTACGGGCCTGTTCCCTCTCAATACGCGTAGGTTGTGGTCGAAAATGATCCAATGTCCCCCTCAATCTCTCCCAATACGTATGGACTGGAGATGATTATTTTGTTTCTGAACGAGGACTAAAATATACATGTATTATATCCACTATCTTCGATCATAATTCGGTGTCCTATAGTGGATCGGCCCCTGCCTCAAGTGAATCCGCAATGGTTCTGCCTCATCGAACCGCGGAACTGCTGGAGGCTGATGAAGCCCAAAGCTTCGTGCATAAGCTTCAGCTCAGTGTCTCGAAGGGCCTTCCTCATGCTGTGCCAGTGCCAGGCTTGAGAACAGAAGAACATGAGCTGGTAGGAATTCAATTGCTTTCCAATATGAATATGATTGCGATTCCAGCTGACACTTCCTCAAGCTGATGCTCATGTTTGCTCATGCCGCTCTGTGACATTCACAGGTTAAGGCTGTTTTCCAGGTGCTGCAAGGCTTCGAGACGTCCTGGCTTTATTGGGACAGTAACATGCTTCGGTACCGTGAGAAAGCGGGTATATATGTGACTCATTTGTCACTGACAGGCCTCAGGTCGTTGTTGAGTCCATTCCTGTTCACGGCAACATGCTTAAAGCAAGTGGAGCTTTTTGTTGGGAAGGTTAGGACTCGCCGTCACAAGATTCCTACGTTGGATGTGTTCGCTAGCTCGGTTGATTCTTGGCTTAAGGTGAGGTTGCAAATCAGGATGTGCATATATTTCTTGGGCTTGAATTTTGTGTAATCTAAATAGATGGTGTTTATCCAGTCCAAAATTCCAATGACTGTTGTCATATTAACATCAGAGGCTCCGCGAAGCAGCTCTGAAGGAGGAAGAGAAGCTATTTGTTTCAGACAACAGGACTATAACTCTACTGGGGTTAACTGATTCATTGTCAAGGTCAAACTTCGCTACGATACTTTGCTACTTTTATTCCTCTAAAGTTATTTGTGTGTGTTCACAGGTTTGTACATTTGAGTTTGAACTGTTCTAGCAAACTAATAAGTAATAACTTGTTATTTTTTTTGTGATGAAGTATGTAATTGATTTTAGAGAGATCAACAGTTGTGGGCAATGTGCCGATGTGTCATGGTGCCAATTTGTATATTGAGTACCACAGGAGCTTTTCATGCACAATTTTAGCACTTGTCAGATTTTGTTTTGTAACACATCAGTCACTCTTTGTATTGAATGTATTGCAGTTTACGTTCTGGAGCAGAACATTTGTCTCAAGTTTTGCATAGAGCTGTGCCAGATGGCTTTTGGGATTCTGGTGCACACGTGGCATCTAGTGAAGTTGCAGTTCATATTCTTGACCATCTCTTCAAGAAGTTAAATGAAGTATGTCTTCTGGAAGACGGCGAGGTTGCAACAAGAACCAATTGCTCGAATATCTGATTGTTTTATTTCAGTTATCATAGTGCTTGCTAATTAATATAAATCCGATAAATTCCAGGGTGAGCCATTTCATATGCTGCTAGTGATATTTACTGGAAGCTTGTTACCTTATCTTCAGTGTCTAGATTCCTGGATATATGATGGTATCCTTGATGACCCTTGTGAAGAGGTATTGAAGAAACAATTCCTTTCATTCCTTTTTTAGATATATTTCACAAGCATTCATGTTATGGTACCAAAACACTACAAAAGTAGCCTGTCTTGTCTGATTGGCCTGAACATATTGAACTCAACAGTAAATCATCAGAATTTCATGATTATGTTATGTGCCTTGAAGTGTTCAACAAAAGCGTACATGAGATTGTTCCATCTTGTTCCCTATATTCCATGTATATCCTGAAAGTCGGCCATTTCCTGATTTCCATATGGTTTGCCTGAATAAAATGCTATGTGCATACCGATTTCTTTGCAGCATAAGGTAGTTACCCATTGATGTCTAAAACACATCATTTTCTTTCCCTATTTATTTAGTTAGTTAAGTATAATTGTAAACCCCTTGATTTAGATCACGTAGTTCTGCATTGCCTTATACCAGCTTGACATTATCCTGTTGAGATTTGATAATGAATGATGTTTAGTTTTTCTGATCTATAACTTGAATTTCAAAGGTTCCGCATTTTTTTATTCAGTCACTTTTCTCTTTTGTAGATGTTCTTTTATGCAAATAATGCGGTTACAATAGATCAGCCGGCATTCTGGGAAATGAGCTATATGCTCAGAGTAAGAGGTTCCAGAGTTGACAGTTCAACAACTTTAACTGATAGCAAATCTATCAAGAAAAAGGAATCAAGCAACCAGGAATCTAATACTGCAGGAGCTTGCTTGAAAGTGAACAATCAAGGTTGTGTGGATATATTATGCCCGGTATTCTTGAAGGATATTGCAAGGGCCATTGTATCTGCTGGAAAATCCTTTCAACTTGTCCAACACGTTCAAGACGTACATCAGATTCAAACTACAAAAAGGTAAACATGGGTCTAATTTGTATCAGGATACTAATTGCAGTGGTCAACAGAAATTCTGGCCAGATATGTCAAGTTTAAGAATCCACGATGATCGTCCAAGAAATAAAGATGCTCTTGAAGTATCCACAAGTCAGTTTGGAAATGATTCTCGTGAAATGGGACTCCTAACCTTGTCTGAAATTTTCTTGATATGCCTATCTGGTCTGTTAGAAAATGGTGACCATGTTTATGAGTACTTAAGAACACTGCATGCTGATAGTGTTCCAAATAACAATGCTTTTATGGAAAATGGGAGTACTAGCAACTTGAAAGGAACAGAGGATACATGTGCAGGGAACATCACTGAGAAGACTTGGTTAAAGCTCCTAAAGGATGCTACATCTGGAAGGCGATGTGATGGTATGGAGAAGACCATAAATGCTGTTATGGAGAAGCCAGTATTTGGCCCGGGTTGCCCAAAAGATGCATCTTCCAATGCCGTAGAAGGGTTTTTTCACTTTATCTTGTTATGAAAATCCAGCTGTCACTGCTTGCAGAGAAGTGCTACTGAGGAACCCAACTTCTTGGAGTGAACTGAATATCTCTGAAAGTTTTCATCTCCCTCCACTGAATGATGGGAACATGCTGAAGAGCTATATTTGCTGATGGACATTCTGCAGGAACTAGCACTGATTATAAGTTTGGTTTCCAGTTCGATGATTTGGAATATGTCCGCCAAGTAGATGACAGAAGGACCTTGGAGGACCTTTATGCATTTCCAACTCTTCTTCCTTGTGCAAAAGTAAGACTTGCTTCTGAAGTATAGTTTGTTATTCATGTTTTCTAGTTATCTCTAATCCCATTCAGTTCAGGAAAATGCGCTGCTGTCAGAAATTTTACCTATGCAGAAAGATAGTGCACTAGCATCAAGAGTTTTGAAGTTTATTCAGAATATGAGTGTGAAAGATCCTCTCCAGCCAGTGGGTATCATCCAAGAATGCCTTTCCAAATGCATAAATAGACAGGTCTGCTCAAAACTTGTATTATGTTCATATTCCTGTTAATCTATTTGTATAAAAAGTCTGCTTTTGTTCCCCTTTTAGGTCGATCACATAGGCAATCAAATCCTGTCCAAGCTAATGGGCGAATGGAGATTAATGGATGAACTGTTTGTTTTACGTGCTATTTATTTGCTAGGATCAGGTCTGTCATCTGCTTAAAACCCCAAAGAACTGCTTACTCGTGTTTCCCTCAGACTGTTGAAATCAAGTAAAGAAAAAAAAAAAACGTGATTTTACTAATTTACTTGAACCTTCAGGTGACATGCTCCAGCAGTTTCTGATAACAATTTTTGATAAGCTTGATAGAGGGAATTCCTGGGATGATGACTTTGAGTTGAATAATTTGTTGCAGGTGATTCATGTTGCAAATTTACTGTCATGTTGATATCTATGCTTCATGAGTATTCAGTTCTCTTATGGTTATTCCTTTCGTGCAGGAATCCATAAGAAACTCAGCTGACAAAATGCTCCTGACAGCACCAGATTCTTTGGTTGTTTCGTTAGCGAAACATGACACACACAATGGTGAGGAAGGTCCATCAACTTCCAAAAAAGGTCGCGCACTTGGTTTTGGCATTGATGCCCTTGACATGCTTAATTTTACATATAAGGTATGCACCAAACAAGAGCAAGCTTTATCTGCATTTTTCCTGTATTTTTATTTATTTGGTAATGGCAGGTGTCTTGGCCTCTTGATCTAATTGTTAATACAGAGGCACTGAAGAATTATAATCAGGTAATGCCTTACTTTCTACTTTAAGTATTAGACATGATTCAATATAACTAATGCATTTGGTCATTTTGGTGAACCAGGTAATGGGATTCTTACTGAAGGTCAAGCGAGCAAAGTTCGTTTTGGATGAAACCCAAAGTGGATGTGGAAGGTAATGATCTATATGACTTTTTGTGTTTTTTAGTCATCATCTAACAGCATCCTTTGTTGTGAATTTTCTTTTACAAAGCTGGAAATGTTATATATTGATATATTGTTGGGAGTTGACAATTAAATGTGGTTAGTTTATTATCATGACAACTTAATTTCCATAAATCAATCCTCTTTTGTTGGCAGGCCAGAGGCAGGACTACGCATAATATCAAACAACACCTAATAGTGGCACAGAAGCTCCTCCATTTTGTCGATGCATTTCATCAGTATGTCATGGACCGAGTGAGTTGAAATATGTTTGCTCAGTTCCTTCCTTAAATCACTGTCTGTCTTGTACTCATGGCATTTTTTGAGTAGGTTTATCATAGTGCATGGACTGAGCTTTGCGATGGCATGGCGTCTGCTACTACACTGGATGAAGTCATGGAAGTTCATGAGGCATATCTCTCTTCTATTCAACGACAATGCTTTGTGGCCTCTGATAAGTTGGTAAGCATCTTTGCCATTTTTATATGAATCAATAAATCGTCCTGATGTTTGAGCTTAGATAAGAATGGCCATTGACTCTGTTTTTCAGTGGGCTCTCATCGCCAGTCGAGTTAAGACTATTCTTGGATTGGCACTGGACTTTCACAATGTTGAACAAACTCTCAGTACTGGTGGGACAGCTTCAGCTGTGAGGGCACGATGCGAGATGGAAACCGACCGGATTGAGAAGCAATTTGATGAGTGTGTCGTATTTCTCCTGAGGGTTAGTTTCTAAATCTATTTGCTGCCAGTAAAAAGATCTATCTGCTGCAGTATTTTTTTTCTTCTTTAGATTGACTAAGTATGAATTTTATATCCATGCAGATCCTATCTTTCAAGCTTAATGTGGGCCATTTTCCCCATCTTGCCGATCTAGTTACAAGAATCAATTACAATCACTATTTCATGTCTGATAATGGGAGCTTCTCTGCTATTCCTGGGTCCCGGACACGGTAGTAGTTGAGCAGCGTGGACAGGATTGTTGGTGTTACCGACACCAGGGTGTTTTTTTTTCCTCCCTTTTTTTGAGAGGCACCAGAGCCTTGATTTGTTTACCTTGCTTTGAAATACCGGCAGCACCAATTGTAAGCAAACATGTTTTACGCAAGATTTGGATGCGAGTGCTAATGCTTCTATCCAAATTGCAAAATTTTCCCAAAAAAAATATGCGTCGGGCTTGTTACAAGATTTATCAGTACATTGTTTTCAAAATGGTGACACGGTCCTTCAAAAGATGGCATAAAACGTAGTTGATCCTATTACATTTTATTTTACAGCTTATCCGTGGAATCAACCATATCTCCAGAAGTTCAGATTAAGAACCGGCAGTGAGATCCAAGGGCTAGCTCCAGAATTCACAGTGAAACAGCGGAACGAAAGACGTTCGTCACTCGTCAAAGAAAGCATCCAGCCTCGTAAAAAAAAAAAGCATCTAGAAATAGCCCCCGTCACAGATGCAACGCCTGAAGCACTGGCGTTAAAAAAAAAATCATTGCTTGGATCATCCGTTGTCACAATGTGGTTGACCAGATTAGCCAGACAATTTTAACGGACTGGTTTTGTTACCATCGGGCGTACATACCCCTTCAGAGCTCATGTCGGCAGCCAGAAGCCGACAGGGGACCTGTTGGCTGTCCGCTAGCCGATAGTCCCTGTCGAACTTCTGGGATGCCGACATGTGTGAGCACTACTACTTTTATGTCCGCTGGCCGATAGGCAAGGCCGACAGGTCCCCAAACTGGTGTGTGTGGCCCTGTCGGCTTCTGGGATGCCGACATGTCTCCTACCCACAGTGACTATTACTTCCCCATCCCAAATTGTAAGTCGTTCAAAATTTTTGGAGAGTCAAAGTTTTTCAAGTTTGACTAAATTTATATAACAAAATAATAATATTTATCATACCAAGTAAGTATCATTAGATTCTTCATTAGTTATATTTTCATATTATACCTATTTGATGTCATCAATCTTTGTGTTTCTCTCTATAATTTTAGTCAAACTTGAAAAAGTTTGACTCTCCAAAATTCTTGGAATGACTTACAATTTGGGATGGAGGGAGTACTTTTATGCTCTCTCTCTCTTCTTTTTTTTTATGAATTCACTACTTCTAGCTCATAGTCCTCTTTTCTTTTTTAAAAGAAAGAAAAAAAAACTTTGACTTCCCAGTTTACCAACGACTCAGATTCCGTCACTCACTCTTTGCTGGTTCTCCCGTGCTCCGATGAACAGCGCAGCACGTGAAACGTTTGGAAAGACAACACATCACTTCGTTCTTATGAGATAAAGAGAAGGCGAGGCCTATTTGCTTGTCTTACTGGCACAAAGGGATGAAGCAGATGCAGTACGCAGATCGAGCTGAGCCCCACGTATTTGTTGTCCTCTCTCAAGCATGCAGTGTACTACGCCTGTACTTCTGCATTTGATATTCACCATGTTCTGCTCATCTACTTTTCAGTTGGCCTGTGCTTATTTCGGTTTGTTCTATCTCACAGAAACATTATTGAATCAGTCGAAATCAGCCGGAACACCACCAGCAGAACCACGCCAATTGTCAGCGTGCCATCGTTGAACAAACCCATCACTCTACTAATAAATTGCATCGTCGTCATTGCTCCTTTCATCACTGGACAAAGTTAATGCATGTGTGGGCGGGGCTGGGACTGGGAGAGGCTTGACTGACGGCCGACAAAGGCGTCATGACGTCGTCCTTCTCACTGTTGGCATGAAATTTTGAATAAACCTGTTTGCATTAAATTTGCTCTGTTTTGCTCTCATCAAATTACCAGACGCTAGTTAAAGGTTACCCCTTTGCCTATTATTCTACAACCTCTGTCCCAAAGCTTAGCCCTTTTTCATTGGGAGATGGTACAACAGTAGATCTCACATCCAGAAACCTCTCATCTGCATACGTTGCTTAGGAATAGGTGGAACTGAGGAAACGGTGGCAACGATTGGAAATGGCACAAGCAGGAGCAGCATATCTGATGACCTCCAGGTATTTTACATCACTTTAAACAAAAAAGAATATCACCATGTTCTGCTCATCTACTTTTCAGCTGGCTTGTGCATATTTCGGCTTATTCTTCCTCACAGAAACACTATTGAATCAGTTGAAATACCACCAGCAGAACAGGGCCTGTAGCACCTATTCGTTAGGTTCCTTTATCCTTCCTGGTTATTTCTTGCGTAAATAACATAGCCTTTGTTGCCTCAACGTCAAACAACAAAGCGCGTTCGCCAGTCGCCGTGGTAGCATGGTATGTGTGGCCACACAACTCGGCTCCATCTTTTTCCCTGATAGTTCCGGCTTCCTTGTTTGGGCCTCTCCCTCCGTCTTGTGCCATGCCATGATGAATAGTGGAACAACGTTTTTTTCTAAGCAGTCTGGCAATCCGCTGCTATGCTCTTGGCACGCGTTTCCAGCTCAGAGCCATCTTTTGTTTAGAAAAAAAAACATTGTCTTATCAGTTGGCCTGTAAGAATGAGAAGCAGACCAAAACTTCCAGAATGGTGCCAGGGAAACATCAATTTCGAGACTTGGAGCTTAGTACAGGAGAAAATGGGCTTGGATGCTTGAATCGATGCCCAAAACAACACAAAGCAACATTGCCTGGATTTTCTTGGAAGAGAACATAACAATGTTTGCAGGTGCTCTCATGGGCGACTGGTTACCGGGGCTCGCTCTCAGTCCAGAGACCCAGGTTCGAGCCCTGCATCCTCTTAACTAAAAAGCAGGGGTGCGGTCTGCTCCTCCCTGTCAAGTTTTTTTTTTTTTTTTTTTTTAGAACATAACAATGTTTGGATTGCAGTCTTAAGTTGCCACACCTAGCCTTAGGAAGGCAGTTTTCCTATTCAGCATTTAGTTACCACCACAACTTAGGGCCTATAATTGCCACAAACCAAATAAAGAAGCTGAAACAAACAGCTAAGCTGGTTTTTGAGGAAATGAACTAAAAGCTAAAAAAAACATGTTTTGAGAAGCTTTTCTAACTTTTGATGTGTTGAGAAATTTAAATTTTATTTACAAAGCCAGTAGCCAGAAACCAAAAGCCAGCCAGAAAGTACAATACTAGACCCACCAATCATAGGCTAGACCATTTCTTGTCTAACTTCTCGGCCACTAGACCATTTCTTGTCTAACTTCTCGGCCACTAGACCATTTCTTGTCTAACTTCTCGGCCACAGGCCACTAGACCCACTCGTCAAAGGATAACGAGTATATAATCATTAGAATATCTTTATCGATCTTCTCTTCTCAACGATTCATTTCTAAAGTTTTTAGCAATCTACATTTTTTTTGCTGGCTTTAATTTTGAGTAACTCTTCATTAACCAACCAGGCTAGTTCGTAGGCATAGCGTTCCCAACATTTCTTACACAGGCCAACAGAAACCAATACACGGCAACCTTTCAATTGGCAAGGTAGCAGTGTTATCAAAGAGAAGCTAGCTAAAATCAACTTCTGCTTTGTATATAAGTTACAACAGCAATTGGGAATTTGGGATATTTGCCATCTGACATAACCTGATGGCACTCTCTTCATGTTCAGAAACGAACATACAAGCTGAAATGCACCAGCTTCTGTAATAAATGTGCTTGCTCATGAACCGAAACCAGGGGAGTGTGCGGGGCAACCAGAAGGCTTTACAAACTTGGAGATAAGCTTGCCATCAATTTTGTTGGCAAAAGCCAAAATATTAGAAACGCGGGGAGACGAAAATGGTGAAATCCTAAGCAGTGGAGGGTGTCCTACTTGCTTTTGTGTCCTTTGCCATCTCCACAAAGATCAATCTTCCACGTAGAATCTGTTGAGATGCAGTTAATTAGAGAGTTTAAGATCAAGAATATCGTGTAAAGCTGATACCAGTTCACATCAAGCTCAGGGAATGAAGCCTCTACATGTTTTCTTATTTTAATTTAATTCAGACACTGAAACCTTAGAACAACAAGATTCAGAAGAGAATGTTGCCGATGACAAAGTGGAGTTCCATCACGCTCAGTACATGGATATGAACACACCAACTGGAGCAAAGAAAATATGCCAAGATACAATTGCATTTAACAAATAAAGGTACAAATCAACATAAAACTATGTTCATCTTGCTGGAAACAATTGTTGCCTTGTTGGAAACTAGTGAATTTCCAGCCTGTGCTGAGTTGTGATTTTGCGAAAAGTGTGAAATTCCTAAACTAATGCTGCTGAAGGAAAGTGCAATGGAACTATTTACAACAGGACAAAGAACCCATGACATGACTTATTATACTAAGTCCACAACCAAATAAAGTTGAAACATGTAGTCTGATCATGTCTGCTTACATAAAGAATGTATTAGGTGCAGGTATTCATACCATAATACCATGAAGGGTACAGTTCCTATCACTAAAGTAACTCAATAAGGGGGACAATTTTCTGAATGCAACATACTTTATTCACAAGAGAGAGAAAAACTCTGCTGCTAATGCATTAATGTTACCTAAATTATACAGCCAAATTATCTTTTCCATGCAGTCATCCAGGTTGGGGGTTGCCTTATCCATGACAGGCAGCAAGATGTAAGGAAATGCTAAAACGACTAGTCACTGCTTGGTAAGTGGGACACATAAAATGCATTAATTCAAAACATGTATTTTCACGAGAGAATGCAACCCAGCAGATTTTAAGGCTAAACAAGGAGATGCTCTTTTACATAAAAGGCCATGTTAAAGGTGTAATATATGGTGTATCCTCATTCTTCACTTCTTCAGTTCTTTTGCAAATAGGTATTGATAACTAATACATCCACCTTTCAAGAATTATGAGTATGTTATATATATTTGTGAATGGAGATTTGCAGAAAGAGCAGGCCTAGAAAAAGTGAAAATTAGATCTTTCGAGTGGTTCAGTGGAGAAACAGCAGGCCTATACATCAAAGCTCACACTGCACTATCAAGAATTTTCTAGAGTTCGTGTCAGATAAA